GTTGCAGCATAGGGAAAAATAAGCATAACAACTCCCTCCACCAGTAATTGGGAAAAATTGACTTCATAAGGCTAGGAAGGTAGAGATATGGGAAGCTAGGTGCCCAACTATGCTCATATGAAGAAGTCAAACTTTTTGATATGGTTTGCAGTTTTTGCATATTCCCCTCCCACAGGTGACTGTTAATGCAGAGCGGGCACTGTTGAGTGGCAAATGCCGATATCAGCAATTCTGCAGCAATACTCAAGATCAGAAAACTCCATTCTCACGATGAGAAAAATGTAACATCCCATGGTCATTTCCTGAAGGTTTTTTTATTCTGAAAGAGGGACACAGTACTCATAAGGGGCAGGCATTCTCCCAAACTGAACCAAGGAGAAAGACACTCACTATCTTTTCGTAATACTCTCTCCGACGTTCTGCTCGTTTCTTATAATCCACCATCATCCCCCGCAGCTTTCGCTCATGTTTTCGAGCTTCATGCCACATCCTGCTTTTCTCCCAGCTATTCAGAAGGGTGAGGAAAGGATGCACATCCGTGTAATGGGGGGGGGGGAGAGGAAAGGGAAATATAACAAAACTTAACAGAGCAACTTTTTCACACTACACCCCAGCCTCTATCAGACTCCACAAAATTATTATTTATTAGTCATTTCATCACACTGGTCACCAAGTGCCTGACAAAAATGACAGCGGAAGCTTCTAGAGTTCCATCAGAAATTAAACTGGTTTTCCACAAGAAATCAGACAGAATTCTATGGGAAGATGAAATACACCATGTGAGTTTCTGTGCTAGTCTTGCTTCCTCCCAATCAGCTTCCACCATACCCTGAGGACAATGCCAGTTCCAAAGCCTCTGTATACCTAATTTTACTGAACCATTCAGTAATGTGGTGACAAGGCAGAAGGAATGGCCTTGAACAGATTCTACCTACTGTAACTCATGTATGGCAATTCTCTGACTTGCCTTATTCCTAGAATTAGACAGATCAATAACTCCATGCAAAAAAAAAAAATTGGAAATTAGGGCAGATACTGTAAACCTGTAAAGATGAATTGAGAAATTAGGAAGTAATGCAGTCGAAGAACTTTAAATGACAAATAAAACAGCAGACAAGGCCTGGCATACATAATCAATACTCACTGAGAGCAGGAACTTGAGAGATGTTAAAACAGATGCTCCTTTTTCCCCAAGCACAATCTATGAAGAATTTTTTTCCCTCTGTGAAAGGAGCGCCCTAGATAAATATGAAGTCAGAAAATGTAAGCACCACAGTTTTTTAATCTGAAGGTTAACTAGTTCAAGATTTAGTTGAGGGAGGGGTAATTTTTCTCCCCAGGATTTACACAGTCACATAAAGAGCACCACCAAATGTTATTGCAGGTATGGGAATTCTTTTTTTTTTTAGTAGTAATTTTATTAAAAATCAC